ATTAGATGTGTGGTGTATTTGTATTGTGTACTTCGTTTTACCAGCTTCTTATATATCGATACGAATATATAGAAGTTCCTGAAAAACCTTTGTAGCACTCATAGTTCATACAAATCACAAATCAAAAAACAAATTGCTTTTATTCATACATATTAACGGTTGTAAGTAAACCAATTATTTAGGATAAAACCAATGATATTTTTTGCAGACTGTTATAACTTAAATTATCCTGGTATCTGGACTAGATAAAGCAACTATTTAAATAAAACCTTTTTCAATTCTTGAGACTGTATTGTGAACCTCTTTATAACTACAAAAGACAAGTAATTATTTTTATTTCTTAGGTGGCAAAATAACAATATCACGCGGCCATCTCTTAAAAAATCAATGTGCACCTACAATCTATCAAAATAGGTTCAGCAGTTTAGGTGTTCGCACATGACAAACATACTTACGAATGAATATATCGTGTGATAATGGAGTAGGGAGAATGATGCAAGACGCAATATTATCGAATAGGTGAGATCTATGTCGCCAGTGGAATTTGCATGCGTTGTTGACCAATCTCTATTGAGGAGTTGTTAATTCTGACCAGTGTTCACTGACTACCAATCGATGGTTGGATTTAAACGGCTGTTGTGAATCTATAGCCATTATCGAAGGTTTCATCTGGAATTCAGAAGTAAATGGATTGATAGTGTGGGAGAGCCAAACTTCAGCACGATTGGCTCGGCTCACCTGGATATGATGGTGATGATGTGAGTGATACCAGGGCCTCATGTGAGTAAAGTTACAATTTGGAGGCCCAGTCATTCCCTTCCCCCTTCCCTCCTCTATCCCTCAATTTCTGAAACCCTAATCCCCAAAAGTCGGCAACGCACAAGTAAGTCCTTTGACGTTGCGGGTGTCCATGGGCAGCGTCGACTGCGTAACACGCAACACCAGACAATTCGTCTCAAAAAATTAACAGTCTTTAAATGGAACGGGTAAAGTCTCTAGTGTTGGTACCAACAAATTGGTAAATTGGTTGTTGTATTTGCCCAGCTCCCATTACTTAGCAGTAGCGAGCCTTAATGTACTATCCAACACCACAAGAATTGTTCATTTCGAACCAGTAGTTTCGGAGGTAAGCGCGTCCATACGAATAGCTCAGCTTATTATTATAATTACCATAAAGTTAATTTAAGTTTGACCATAAACTAATACACTAATATTATTAGTCTATGGTTTGACCTTCACAAAATATAACAAAAATACTGAACACAAAAAACAAATGTGACCCAAATACAAAATTGTGATAAAAAATGAAAGTGGATTTAGTTCCCACGATCGGTGTCTTACTAATGTAGATATGAGGACGCAAACTGTACAAATATTTAACGGAGATAGTAGATAGATATGTTCGTAGTATTTTTGGAAAATAGTGCCTTCAATTTATTATTTATTTTTTTTATTTCGAGAGAAGAGTAATTCATGTTTGCTTAAAAGATTCGTTTGTCGTATCAATAGTTTCGGTTAATTGTTTTGTTTAATAAATAAGAAATTGGTCATTAGGTATGTTGTAGTGTATTGAGAGAATCGTCAAATAACTTCGTGTAATTTGTTGTTTTAATCGTGAGCTTTGTGCAATTGGATAGGCTTGTGTTCAGTAGTTAATGAAAACGGGCTGATGATAACGATGATGAACGATAAAAGAAGCTCGTTGTAATTATTATTAATTGAGACGGTATACAGAATTACTGTCAAGTGCGTCTCCATCATAACACCTCTTTTATTCCGGGTGTAGTTAGGCGACACTGATTGCTTACCATCAAGGAATCCGTCTTTTCGTTTTCCTTCTATAAAATATTACCTCGTTATTAAAGTTTATTAATGGATTAGCAAAATTAACGAGAAAGTAACAAATAACTTTCTATTTTTAATAAGATTACACGCGTAGGTGATGAGTGCCATGTTAAACATTATTTCGAAGAAGACAATGGTATCGCCCACTCTTATTTTCGCCAGCTTCACATATATTTGTGCCGTGGGTGGTCTCGCTATGGCCGGCGAATCTGTCTAAATGACTAACAATGATGTATGTTTTATTGATTGTTGTGGCTTTTACTTTCTATATTTCCTACTAGCTACTCTTGCGCGGTTTCACCCGCCGCCCGGCTCCATTTAATCGTTGCGTGATGTTTGATAACCTATAGCACTCGGGAACATTGTAGCTCTCTATCAGTGAAAGAATTTTTGTAATCCGACCAGCGGTTCCAAATATTACCCCCTACATACAAACTTACAAATTTTACCTCTTTATAATATTAGTATAGATGTCGTTAGTTTTGTGTTTGGAAGGTCGTTTGAGTCCGATCAGGAATCGTTACAAAAGCCAAGTAATATCTTTGGGATTTTAGTTTTTCTGGTTCTGGTGGTGAGGTCTAATTTTGCCAATTAGTTCGTTACCTGTTGTTGTTGACCTGGATATCTTCAAGTCCCGAGTGAATAGGTTGATTTAATCAACCTATTCGCTTACCACTAAGCGTAATAGCGGGTAAATGCGTGTCTGTATGAAACAATACAGCTTTAGGCTTCTGATTGGTTGGTTATCTACGAGCGGGCCAATCAGGGTACCGGATGAAGACGAGAGCAAACTTACAGTAAACCGTCTAGCAGCTCAGAGTTGGGGAGCAAGCTAAATAGTGTATCATGGTTTTTACTCAATAAGTCTAATACTCAATCCCATGACACACGATAGAAATAATTATACCTTATTTAAAAGTCTAACAACGACACTTTAAAACTAAACCAATGAACCAATTATCAATACTTTTATCACAACTTTAAACAGTTACATCAGAATGCGTAGGTTTCATAGCTGAGCCAGAACACGATATTTCCTCTACTTAGATGAAAGTGCATTTTTAATATTTAATTTCCTAAAAATATCGAATTTCTTGATATTAAAGATAAGTTTTCGACCTTATTTCTGTGAAAGTTATTATAAATGTAAGATTGGTATTGATAAGTATTCGATTTGTTTGTGTTTGAAATTTGTATGTTTTGAAAGTGATTTTAATACAAAAATCTAACATAACACCGATGGGCAACCACTTTACTAACGACGAACGACGAAATGGTCGCAATTTTCCCCTCTACTTTTTAAATGTTCTTTCATAAGGATCTTCTAGCACCAATAACAAGAACAAACTATAGAGAATTGGCAAAATTGGTCCAGGCGTTCTTGAGTTAGGCGCTAACCAACCATTTATTGAATTATTTTTTTAATGCAGATAGATTTGTTTTCAGTACAGCCCCTATATTTCACCCGGTTTCTGAAAGGCTTGTCAACGCTAAAATTAACTAATCTCCTGTTAAATATCTTGTCAAGTCATCTGATTGGTTGTTGATAATTCAGTCAACCAATCAGATGACTTGACAAGAGATTAAATTGATTTTAACATTGATCGGCCTTTCGGAAACCGGGTGTAAGTCACCTTTTTAAATTGTATACAGCAGACGCAGACGCAGCGACAGACAGCCGTGAACAGTAAATTGTATTGTGTCTGAGTTATAGGCATGCTAAAATAGACCATGTTTTTCTTAAGATATGATCTATCGATTATGTTGTACAAAAATCAATTTCTTGTCGCAGACAATTTAGAACGCGCCCAGCACGGTGCTAATATTTCGTAACTGTCAGCTTGAATTAATATTTAAATTTTCAGACATTGCACCTAACATGTTTGATTGGCCAAGATATTGCCTATTTTTTTTTTTGTAAAATGCAGTTGTCTACAGCTATGTTAAATTTAAGGTTTTTTTAAGACCGGAAGTGAATGTCACACATTAATGGGGAAAATGCATTATCACCTTTCAAAACTTTTTTTAAATGCGTGAAATAGCCAAGCTTTAGCATGAGTGGGTCAACTCGACTGGGATACCCTTCCCAATCCTTAGATACCCTTATTCCCAAAAGGCCGGCACACCTTTAACTCCTTTAGTATTGCGGGTGTCAATGGGCGGCACCGATTGCTTACCATCAGGTAATCCGTCTGCTCGTTTGCCGACCTATCCCATAAAAAAATCAAATAATAAAACGAAACGTTTTCTTCATTTCCGCCGGACATTAAGATCTTGACCAGATACCTACACATACTTAGCCCAAGTCTTTTGAGACTAGATTGATACTATAAAGCATATTTTATTACGACCACTTTAGCTAACTTCACGTTTCATCTAGTTAAGAGTAATACAAAAACATTTCTGTTTTCCCATCAAGTACTGTGATTTACGTATTCATGTAATTGTAGGCAATTTCTGTAAACGTTAAGAACACGCTAAGACTCGGATACATGTAAAATGTAGATGTACGTATGTAGGTATGGACATGAAAATAGCTTAAACTTGTATTCTGATGCAGTGTAAGGCATGTCATCATATCCCACGGCATAGTTCTACAAAAGCATTGATGACAGCAGAAATATATTTACGTTTAGCTATATTTTTTCTTAACTGTATCGTGTACTGAAAATGTATGTTAATATAAGTTCTCGATAAAATTAACAGTGGGAAATATCTGTATTATATAAATCCGCAAAGAAATATTTATCTTAAACATGCCACAAGAATTACTGGTATCCGTTTTAAGTTGCCACAACGATAGACTGGTTGGACAAAACAATAGAAGCATTACATTACGAAAAATATATCACATTGCCCTAAATAATTAGCACGACACGAATGTCAAAACGTCCATAATTCGTTTGCGAGAATGTTTCGTTATAGTTAGCGCCACCCGGCGCATGCTCACGACTTGTTGTGATCATGCGCCGCTGATTTAACTTACGATAGATTTTATCGCGCCGATCTGCACCGTAAAACCCATAACTCAAGTAAATGCTCTCATTGTGCAGTGACATTCGATATGATCCGATCTACAGAACTCTGACCTCTTAAAATGCCAAACGTGGCGAGAGAATGCACTCCTGAGACTGTTACACGAGAATAAGTGAAAAATGTTCCACGTGCAAGGATCCTTCGAGCAATCACTTCGCTGCGGCGACGAAGTGTCACCTAACGGCAACAAAACATTGGCCGCTTTGGCAAAAATCCACAAACATTGTACAGGCAAAGCACATGCTAATGGATGCGCTGACCATAAACTTAATCCGCTAGCTAAATCAGATTCAAACACTAGCTTGCAATCACGCAAATCCTTCCGTAACGAATGCATAATAGAAATCAAAGAATCTGATAAGAATAATCACAACACGATCAAAAATAATGACGGCTTGTACAGTAAAAGTTTTAGCAACAGTACCAGCTCCTATGAAGGTCACAGTGATACTGATTCCGAAAATACATTCAAATCACGTTCCGATCAAACCAAAATAACTGATCCATGCGAGCGTTTGTTTGCACAAAACACCAAAGCATCCCTGATGAAAACTGCTCGTATGAGGTATGCTGACGACAGCATTATATCAGCCCTCCAAGATGAAGTAGACGGAGAAAAGGTTAAACAACCTTTTTGCAGAACTCCGCTACGAGGAAGCTACAGAGAAAGAAAGTCAGCTGTAGTAACTATTGAGGAAGTAAAATCAGATGGTTCTAACCAAGACGAGGAACTAGCTAACGCTGTGCTTTTTGATGAAAAAAGAAAAACTCCGACTCAAACAAAACCTGGATTACAACGGAAGAGTTCTTCGGGCAGCACTGTTAGTAATGGGAAGTCTGTAAACGGAACGAAACCTCCATGGAGAGGGGTTAGTAAGAAAGGCATACCAGCCGAGCCTTTTGTAAGGACTCCCTCATTCAGAGGCAGTATCAGAAAGAAGACTACAAAAACTGATGGTATACCTTGGAAGAAGTTGTATGAGCTCTCGCTCTGGCGTCGATATGGCGTGAGCTTTGCTTCTGTTGGAGCTGATGCTGAACGGGCCTTGCTTAGGCCTTGGAGTGAGCTGTCTACGCAGCCAGAGCCACTATTCTGTTTGGTAAGTCTTACTATATCCTTTTTTTTTCGAAAACCAATATAGATAATGGTGTTGGTATCGTATTTCATATTACCAAAACAATATCATTTACCCGTCGTCAAATCAATGATGTGAACTTAGATACAACTTAAGTAGCTCTCTCGTAAGTCAAACGTCAATCACTACGCCTCAGGCGTCCGCCGCTCTTTGATGGCTTATTTGGTTTTGACAGCTCGATTGCTGACTGCCAGTCAGTAATTCCACAGAACAAGCGGGTTCGGATAGCGTTGTTAGTATGTTAATAAGGATTGAATATTTTGTAGATGTTCATAAAGAGTCAGTATGTAATATTTTCTTGGCAATAAGTTGTATTAATGGTTTTGAGAAACTGGTTTCGTTTTTGGACACCTATACGGATGGAAACAGGTAGAGCGTTTAACTAAAAGAGTAAGTTCAACATTAATATGGAAGAACCATATTTCGGCATGAATGGGCTGGCTCTACCGGCGTACTACCAACAGAAAAGAGGCAAAAAACTACCACATCATTGTGTTTCGCCGTGTGGTTACCGAAGGTCCAATCCTTCCACTCAATCCTCAAATTCTTACCAACCACTGACAACGCTCTTGTAACCCTTTTGCTGTTCCGATTGCCCCATGTGAGTTGGGATAGGTTTGGTAAAATAACTTCTATTTTGAATTAATGCTATAAAATTATAAACCAGCAATATTCCAATTCATGATAAAATTAATTCGATGTAAAGCCATTTCCTACAGTTTTAAAGCAAATACAACTTATCTTAAGTCTTAAGGGTTTCTCGAATTACTTTCCTGATTTTATTTAAAGAGTTGCTAGTTAATCTTATCTTGTTCAAACTGAACTGTTTGCTCTCAGATGACACGGTTAAGCACAAATGGTCTGCCATAATATTTGCCAAAAATATAAGATAAATGTTTTCTTTTGAACGTCGATAAGGGAGATAGCATCGATCGTGTTGTTTGAAAAACGTGTTTAGTTGTTGGTTGGTTAGGTAAACTCTATTGCGGTCCGATTTAAAGAATCTCAAATTAGTACTGTTCATAAAACTGAAAGTAAAAGAAAATTTTCTTTAACAACAACTACACATTTACTCTACTCATAGCTGTTTGCAAGATACATAACTTAAATACTACACGCCCTCTTTCGTGCTAATCTAGATTTATCTTCACCATATCACGAAAAATTATCACACAACACTTTCCCCATATCGCTCAACTCTGAAAATAGTCTGCAAATCCAAAATAAGATCAAAATCCTATGACTTATATTACATTTGACCATATTTTTAGAGATCACACTCAAATTGTAGCCATATAGCGCGCACTTTCGATCCGATCGTGGCAAGGGGTCACGGATCGGACACGAGTCGGACTGATATGACCGTACCGTGACGAACCGGACGCCTCAAGCAAGAACCGCTCTGTGATTTACCAGTATATGGATTGATTGGATTGATTTTCCTCTGAGGATAAGAATGCAGGCCGTAATTTCATATTTTCTGCTCGGAGAAATTTGTTGTGCAGTTTTGGCGCTAGTGTCGATTTAAAGCTGTTTAGCTCACATTTCTAGACTGCCTTTAAACAATCTAAAATTATATCAATAAACTAATATCAAAATCATGATTAGAATGAAGATTTTAAATTTTAATACACTAAAATCATGATTATTTCTATCTTTTTCTTCTTATAAGTAGAAAAGAAAAGGGCAGGAATATTTGTCAATCTCCGTATCCACCGCATAGCCCGATGATATTCTTTATGATATTAAAATCTTTCCCAAACACTTATTCTGATAGGAAATACAAAAAATACACTAAACATGAAACAACAACTTCAGATAAAATTTCTTTACTCTATTCTCAAGCTGACCTTGGATGAAGTTTCCACAAAGTCTAGCAGGATACGTGTAAACAAAACAACAAGGACTTCATGCAAATGCTCAATGTCGGTGATTTGCAACGTTTGCTTACATAACTAGCCGACACGTGAATACGAATTAGTTGCAGATCAGTACATCGCGTCCTCTTGTACGAGCGTGGGTACTTAGTTGCGAAATTATACCGCATTGTAAGTAGTCCAGGTTGCTGGTCGGCTCTTAAGATGGTCCTGTAGACTGTGTTAGTGTTATTAGGCTTCATTTATGTTTTATTTTAAATTTTATATTTATTTTTCAGTTTTTCATGAAATAAAATTGCTAGTAGGGTTTGTGTCAGTAAATTCACGTGAGTAAGTAGTTATTTTTAATAAACAGACAGAACTTTGAAAAACATTTTGGACTCTAATGCATTTTTCGACTAGTTTTCAGAAAGTTTTCGAAACATTGAATGATCGCTATTCGAGTCAGAATCTTGAAAAAACGAACCAAGAAGCGCGATTTTAGGTATCGAAAATATTCTTTAAGGAATATAAGTACATTTCACAGGAATTTGATACGCAAAAAAGCTTCCATCGCGGACGGATAAAATAATAGAGATGTTCCGTTCAAAATAACAATTAGTTAAACCATTTAGAGATCATTGAAATAAATCGTCTGTTTTTATCTTTTATCAGATCTTCGCAATCTTATCTTGTTCATGGACATTTAATCGACAACATCCTGATATAATTTTTTGCCCAATAATGAATGTACTGTCTTCTTTAAAATTGACGATATTTGCATATGAATGTTTATTTTAGGCTGCAGATTCGCAGAGTTTTTCCGGTATTAGTCTATTAAGTTTTAGATTTCAATAAAAGTTAAGTATGTTTAAAAAATATGTTTTGCGGTTTTAGCTTATCTCAACTTTGTTGAGCAAAATCCATTAATGTTTAGTTCAGTTGTTGTTTTCTTACTGCTGTAAAAAGTTTTATTGGTATCGAAGTACTCACTTTTTTATGGGAAAGTCATCGAATGAGAGCGAGAGAGAATGTCAGACTCTTACTGACTAAAAACCCCCCTTTCCTTGTCCTGCTTCACGCCGTGGCCGCGGTGCCTTATTGCGCTTGCCACTCAACCCCGGCTGAATATCAGCCCTATAGGGCCTCGTTTGTGGTGGTCTATTGGCATTGGTGGTATATTGAGATCATCTCTCGAACGAAGTACTCAGTTAAGAGTTCAGAAACTGACTGCACAGTTGAAGCTGGGCAAACTGGCTGCCGTGCAACGTGTCGCGTGTTCTATGTCTTACGGAAAAACTCTTTGTGTCTATCTACAAATATTTCGTCCTGCAGTGTGATTCTGTAAGACTTCATTCTAAACTTCGAATCTGAATCCGCCGTGAGTAGTAGTACACTAGCGCTACACTTGCGAGTTGAACTAAATTGACAGCATCATTTTGAAAGATAAAGTATGAAATGACGTTAAAAGTGGCATTCTAAAATTTCATTTCCCCGTCACTTCGACGCTCACTTCGCACTCGAACACGATTCAAAATGAAACGAATTTTATAGAATCGACGTGCTGGTCTAGGTGTGATGTGTATATGAAGTTCTGCGTTTGTAAACGCTCCCACGATACTCTCGGAACAGGAGAATAAGAATAGAATGTACTAGTTTTTAGTCAGAATCTGACGCTCGTTCTTGCCCTACTTAGAGCGGGTAAAGACATTTGACGATATTTCTTATTCAAAAAAATCTTACTCCAAGGATGTTTTTCAAAAAAAGGGGCAAGTTTTTTGCTAAGTAATGAAATGATGCGTTTCTTAGTAAAGTTCGTGTTTTTCTTCTTTCCTTCCTGAGTTCTAATATAATCTTTTACAATTAAATATTGTACTTCGTCGTGACTCAAATACATATAGATCCTCTTTGCATCGTCTCCGTATTGTTTTTTTAATGTACCGCGTGTTCCAATGAGGTTTGTATTCAGACCATTAGCAGCAATAGCTAAGTAAATGCAAATCTATAGGTTTCCTAGTCGGTAAACAAATGAATGACATACACGCCTTCAGGTATTGTTTTTGTATTTATAATTCCAAGGTCATTCAGGTCGTTATTAACGGTAATATAATGTATGTTACTGTAATTGATGTTGTGTATAATTGTTTATGTAATGTTTCTTGTTTGTTTAAAGGCCTTTGCTAAGTTGCTTTTGTGTATAGGGAGCTGTTATTGTCTTTTCATTTAATTCGTTTATAATCGTGTTATAAATTGCCCATTGAAATTTTCCCTATTTATTAATTATAACTAATCTATTAGATATAATTATAACTGAACAGAACTACCAACATAGAATAATAAAAAAAAATAGAAATTCGAATTTTAAATTATTTAGATATTTAATGAATACCTCAATTCTCTACAAGAAACATACTTTATTTGTAATAAAAATATAATAATGACCTTATAAATGACTGTTTGATAAAAAATATCCTAAATTATGTTTTTTTTAATGTTTTAATTCAAAACCAGTCGTGTTCTAGAATTTGCATATTTTACAAAGACCGTGAGAAATTTGAAACAAAACTTTTTAAATTTGAATTTGTTCTCTGACATTCTATTTGTGCAACGAATTAATTTACCTACTTATAATAATTTTTAGCCGTTTATTCTTAGTTTGACCAATATTTTTTGTTTTCTCCAATATCTTCTATTATTACATTTATCACCAATATGTAATTGATAGATCAAGACGTCAGGCTGTGTTTTCGCTGACGTTATGGGCGACAAGCAAGGTGCAATATTTTTTCTTCTGAATAAGGAACGGGATGTTTATAGTCAGTAAGAGTCTGACACGACGACACACGACGTCGTGGTAAAGTGAAGTTGTTGGTTGAGGTTTTCCCCCTCAGAAAAAAGTGAATCTCTAACGACTCCCGATCTCCAACTAGATTGCTAAACTCAATAGATCACAAAGTAGCACTCCCGAACGCCCAGTCATAACTTGATTCAATTTGTCAATATCATTGTATTGTTTAAATATTTACTGTCTCTAAGGCTCTATACATCATTGTCGTGAGAAAGTGGATCGCGAATGATTGTTTATAATCTCTTTCGATTTATTATTAT